GGTCACATGCTGATCACGAATATCATACTCTCCTTGCGGTCTTGAACCTTTTTGCGGACTTACGATAGGTATGTGGTAGGGGTCAGAATCACAGACATGGTCGAAAATTTGTGCAGGGGCTATGTGACTTGAGATCACCGATGTCGCGCTCATTCCGCATGGTAGCCTTTATGTGAATTTTCGTGATTCATTGGACCGAAACGCGAAAAAATGTGTAATCCGTAGGCTGCAAATTACCGAAACTCCACAATAGGGCGTTATTGCAGGCAAGCATGATAATCAGCATGCTCTTAAACCCTTCTATAATCTGTGTCAACCAAATGTTCCCTTTGCCGTAGCAGTTACACATCTGCAGCGCGTGGGCATTGCACAGCGATCTCCGATCGATGCAGCAAATATGAACGCTCAAGCCGTACGCCCGCGGACCGTTCAGCGTTGCGCTTGAAATGATCGAAGAGGATGCACTCATTGACACAGACTGTAGACAAGTAAGCAAATTCGAAACCTCGGCCCATCTAGTGAAGTTTAGGGCAAATTCGTGGTCTTGACCCCATACCATATACCCACAGTAACTCCTTGAAAAGCAGCAAGAGTTTGACATTCGTGATCAGCACGTCAAAAAACCTCGTAGACCAAATTTTAGCAAGATCCGTGATTTTGACCTCTACCGTATACCCGCCGTAGCCTCAACAAATGACATTTTTGTGCAAAAAGAGTGTGATATTGTGATCAGCATGTCGAATAACCCCATAGAATGTGTTATAGAAAAAATTCACGACTTTGAAATTTTGGCCCGGATATAGGAATAGCGCCGGTTTGTCCTTGTTGTCTTATTTTTTTGATTCAGTTGGATATGTATTCGTCAGTACTACACGTTCCTACAGCTTGTGCAATAAAATGTTATATTACGGAGGAACCACTACCCTATTTTTGTATAAGCCGCATCCTTTTTGCTCTAAACGCGAGCAGACCCAGGCGTGCCGCCGCGCATATGTCTCGCGAAGCGGTCGCCTTATCGCATACTGGGTAGAGGACTATATGTCGCCGAAAAAGGGCGGTCCCGCGGTCATTTGCGACAAGTACGCACCCTTATACATGCGCGGACATGCGTTCCTGCAGGGAATCCGCGCGGGACTCTTCCAAATTCGGCGACATATAGTCCTCCACCCTCGCATACTGCTCTCACTTAACGCGCTCCATGATGACAGTCAGTCCGTTGGCGTGTTTGCCTTTAGAGCGAAAAGGGTGCAGCTTATACACCTGAGAATATGGTAGTAAAGGGAGTCGTCGGTTTCTGCGCATAGCGTGCAGACTCCGTTTTGAGCCAAGGCCTTCTAATGTCCCTGATTCTGATTGTGAAGTCGAGAATCCGCAAAAGCCGCGTCAATCCCCGTACCGGAGAACCCGAAGTCCTCGTGCATCTTCGCTTTCCGGAGCGATTTTCTCGGGTGTATGTCGCCGAATTTGGAAGAGTCCTGCGCGGGTTCCCTGCAGGAACGCATGTCCGCGCGTATTCAAGGGTGCGCATTTGTCGCAAATGACCGCGGGGACCGCCCCTTTTCGGCGACATATAGTCCTCTACCCATTTTCTCGCTTCCGAAACGACATTCTGCGCTGCGACTTGGGCATTGGCTTGATATGGGGCCCTACTATCATAAGCTTCCAAAAGCACAAGACCCTCAACTTAGGGTGAACGGTGCCTTCGAGGCAGCGTCCAGGCAAATCTGGACATATGGAGCTCTCACGTGGATCCTAATTTTGGGGCCCTAACTAAGCCAATGCCCAAGCGGCAACTCAGGTAGTGCAGTAATGACTGAGATATTCGCGGACCCCGCGGATCGTATCGCATGGATTCGTGGCGCAGCGCGTGGATCCTCGCGCGAAATTGATGGGTTGCGCCATGAATCCATGCGAAATACGATCCCGGGGTCCAGTTTCGAGGCGATTATCTCAGCCGTTAGTGCACTATCTGAGCTGTATACTTTGGGAAATTCGAAATTTTTTTCGAATATTCGAATATCGAATAATACTCGAAAATCGAGATTTTCGAATATTCGACTATCGAATATTATTCGAAAACTGAAAACTTCGAATATTCGACTATCGAATATTATTCGAAAATCAAAAATTTCGAGTATTCGACTATCGAATATTATTCGAAAATGGAAGTTTTCGAATCGAATAATATTCGAATATCGAATATCATTCGATATTCGAATTTCGAATATTATTCGATTTTCGAATATCATTCGATATTCGAATAATAATTGGCTTAGCCACTTTTTGTATCTTCGCTTGAAAAGGATAGAAGAAGTCATGAAATCCAAGCCAAATTTGGCAGACATAATGTATGGGGTGGGGCGTGTGTTAATAAGCCATTTTGTCTGGGACCCATCGATTGCCGCTATTGATTTATCGATTTTTTACGATTTTTGCTTAGAAAATTTCTTATGTTCGCCCAAAAAGGATAGAGGGAATTATAGGATCTGAACCAGATTTGGCAGACATAGTTTGTATGGTGGGACGTGTTTTAATAAGCCATTTTGTTTGGGACCCATCCATTGCCGCTATCGATTTATTGATTTTTTGCAGTCTTTGCTTAGCAAATTTCTTATGTTCGCCCAAAAAGGATAGAAGGAATTGTAGAATTTAAACCAGATTTGGCAGACACAGTGTGTGTGGTGGGGCGTGTGTTAGCCATTTTGTTTGAGACCCATCGATTGTCGCTATCGATTTATTGATTTTTTGCAGTGCGTGATATCCGTTGCTTATGTTAGAGTGTTGAATAAAAATGAACGAACATAGCCAAAATCATGTCCTCAATTCTTCTTTCCGCGCAGATTATAAAGGTATTCGTGAGAAATGGCAAACTTTCACATTTCCGCAATATAGAGTAAAACAAAAGAATTTACGAGGTAGCGAAGCTGCCGAGTACCAGCCCGAATCTGCCGCGTAGCGTCGAATACTACCCGAATAATTTATGTCAGTGAGACCACCTAAGAGAGACCAAAACATCTAAGAATAAATTTTTCAGGTAAGTATCAAGAATAGACACTTTTTATGTTACAATTTACGATGAAAAAAACGGTTTAGTGATGACGTGAAGAAACTTAAGAACCTAAAAGCTGCTCCTGTGAGGGTTTGAAAAGACTTTTCGAACTTTAAAGAAGATTATTTATCCTCATTGAGAGTGGTGGATTGACATACAGGGGCCCCAACAGTATGTAGATCTGTGGGCTGACATCAACTTATTGTTAGACTCATACAGTATGGATATCGATCGCCAGCTGTTGTAAAATTACCGTAGGAAAATTGAGGAGGGTTTTGAGACATAAGAGACGTTTGCCCAAGAAAGGGAAAAAAGGCCGAAAGTTTTATACTAGACTTCTAAAGACACTCACTATATAAAGAATTTGCACACAGCCGTAATGCTTTTACAACTTACGGTTTTCCAACGCTTTTTAAAAACGTGATTGCACATTTAAAGCTTGAAGTCTCTTGAGTAGTTAGAACAGCATACGTAAAAACCTGCTACATAGAATTCAAATCTTTTTTTTGGAGAAATTCTTTTGGATGTCTCATTTCGCAGTTGCTCTATAATGCTGGAAGTTCCTACCGTGATAATACAACTAATGGGTGATTCGCTTTTTGTTGTATTTGTAAGCTGAAGCCATCCCCACAGGATGTTACTTAAAGCTTGGCAAAAGATTTCGTGAGAGGTATTAGCGATCAAACAATGTGTAGATATTCTTGGGACACCCCGTATATGTTGTGGATAGCGAATTTCCGAATGTTCGATGCTTAACAAATTTTTGAATACTCAATACTTATCGAATTTTCGAATATTCGGTGCTCATCGAATATTCGAATATTCGATGGACATCGAATGATCGAATTGATGACCATCGAATATTCGACTATCGAATAATATTCGAAAGTTGGGATTTTCGAATATTCGACTATCGAATAATATTCGAAAATGAAAATTGTCGAATATTCGACTATCGATTATTATTCGAAATCTCAGATTTTCGAATATACGAATTTTCGAATCATTCGCATTCGAATGATTTAATCGAATAATCATTCGACTCGGTCCAAAGTATACTGAGCTGCCGCTTGAGCAGTGGTTTAGTTAGGGCCCCAGATTTACTATCCACGTGACCCCATATGTCCAGATCTGCCTGGACGCTGCCTTTAAATGACTCGAGATTAAGTGGACTGTAGAGGCAAGTCGTACGGCCCTGGTTATGAGCTGTCATTGCTCTTTTCTTCCACTTGTTTCCATTTTTGAATGCATAGTCTTCAATTTGGGACATTAGTCCATGGTTGATGGTCGCCTGTGGTGCAGTTCCACGTCACATTTGCAGTTGTCTTCACCTCACTGATAAAAAAAATACCATCCTCCTTTCAATCATCCTTATTGCAAAGATGTGAAGAATACCCTCCCCTAATTTGTCATCTTTATTTTAGAGATAGAGGATACCCTTTCGCTCCCCGCTTTTCTCTCTCTCTCTCTCCCTCTCTCTCTCTCTCTCCTCCACATTTTTGTGCAGGCAGCTGACTAGCGCTGCTCTTTTCCGCCTGGTTTGGAAGCGCTTTCTCCATTTCTTCGCTTTCATTTTTCAAGCACTATATTCTCTGGCCTTCCCATCTTCTTCAAAACTTTATCCGAATTTATTTCGTAATTTTCTGGGGTAAGTGTGCAGACATCACCCGCAATCGATAGGATGCCGCGTGTTTGTCGTGGTGTCGTTCCAATTTGAGCTGCATTATTTGTGCAGTGAGCTTTGATGTCATGTCTTTCTCCTTGTAAATAATCTATTTTATCTTTTTTGCGGCCAGCATACCTTTGAATAATGCATGTTTTCTTGAGTTCAGCAGTTTTGACTTCTCTTTGTAAAATCCACCATTGGCCATGCTTTTCTTCCTTTTCTGTTTTGGACGCTAGTGATTTATCTCCCTGCAGATCCGATAAACATACGTAAATGCTTCTTTTCAGAGTTACTGGGATCTGCTAATACCACGGGTCACTGTTCAGGACTGTTAATGAACCCATGTATTTCTGGATTCTATTTTTCATCGCGGCCTTCATCGTTTTGATTAGGAATAGGAGGTGAGAGTTTAAAGGATTTGCTTATAAGCGCTCACAGTTTAGTTTTATGAGAAAAAACTAAGGGATGCTAAACGCGACTTCCAATGTTCCTACTAATATTTATTTTTTATTTCTAATATTTTGTTTCATCTGGAAGATCATGATTTTTGGCTCTGTAACATTTACCAAGAGTGTCTGGGGGCGGGAATTGTGATGCACTGATCTGTGCTCTCGCTCATAACCTAAGGCAGTCGCCAGACTTGTTCGGTTCAGCTGTTTGTCTTCATCTCATTCGCTATTGGTCAAACCACTGAACTGACCAATAACAACTGGGGTGAACCGGTTGAATCGGATAACACATTGACGACAACGCGAATTTTTAATTGTCTGCCTCTTGGGACCAAGACCTTTCACGGACCAGTCAGCATTTTTTAGATAAAATCACGCATACTGCCATCTACAGTATACCTACAGTAGCTGTAGAAGGGTAACACAAAAAATAGAGATTATTTCTAGATTCACAGTAAAAGAAAACGCCTGGAATGAGTTTGTACCAAGGCAGTCTTCAATTTAACAAAGTTCAAGCCTTGACACACCATGTGTGTCAAGCAGTCCCAAGTGGTAGTCATTGCTTGACACACATGGTATGTCAAGCTGTCGTCATTGTGATAAGTATGGCGCCTACCTAAAGACATGTCGGCATCCACTGTTCAGAAAATGCGCTTTCATCAAAAACATTTGAATTTCTTCTGAAAAAACATTTGACGTGGTGCAACACATGTGAGACCCTGCACAGAGACTTCGAAATGTCTTGGGTTGAGACGACGATAGAGTCAAATTATATATTGGTGTCTGGGTGCCTTTGAAACTGAGGAATTGATTATATAGTAAAATCCCGCAAAAAATTTCTGTGTTAACGACGAGTAAAATCGGCTGGCATATAAACCCAGGTTCTCACAGACACAAGCATGTCTAAAATTGTCATTAGCTTCTTTGTGATTTCACCCAACCGTTATGGTCACATAGCTTTCACATTTTTACAATTTTCTTTTGTGTTGTATTTGCTGTCTGTATGTTGTGCATACATATTTAGGAAGCGAGATGTGATAGCTTTCTTCCATCCGTACTGCAATGCTGGTGGTGGTGGGGAACGAGTCCTATGGTGCGCTATTCGGACAATGCAGCAGAAGTATGTTTATCATGCATTGTCGTTATTTGCTTATTCGCCAAAGTTTTCTTCTTGCTTAGCACAAGTTTCTCGTAAAGTCTAGTCCCTATGCTTCGATAAGCGTTGAGCAGTGTTCTTTCTCATTTTTTCACGGCTGCTGGTTGAAAGGATTTTTTTACAATGACCTTCCTTTCTCAAGTAAAACGTCGCTTACCGACCCTCACACACTTTCTTTTGTCATTTTGATCCGTTCATGGCTGTTTTATTTGATTTTGGCTAATACTTCAATCACGAGTAGTATGCGTTTCCAATAAGCAAGTTTTCGTGTTCGCACTTGTGTGTGAATCTGAATCACACGTATGAATTAGGACTGATTTTAGTAGGGGATTGAGAGGATTGCCAGAGAAAGAAAACTTTTGTGAGTCGTCACAGAAAAGATTGAGTTCATACAAAACGTGTGCGCTGTAGGGCTTTCTGCAAAAATCTCCCCTGCCATTCTCATAGTACGATCGTCAAAATGGAATTCTCCCAGTTACCCTGGATGTATTCAAACGCGACTCGCATTTTGGGAACTTCTGAAGTTATTTTCATCAGTAGGTATTCCTCTCTCGTTATGGTGTATAAATCATGCAGCTGTCAGCTTTTGCATTCAATATAGCGTCCCTTGAATGTGCTGTAATGCTGAGATCTTAGGCATCGAAGAGTCTTATCACTTTCTAAAGATTGTTCTGCATCATCGTGCATGTACTAGCTACTTGGCCAGGAGTCTAGCAGAAGGAAGCGTAGAAGTTACACAGCTATTCAACTTCATGTTCATCGTATCCTTTTTCAAATACTCCGGGTTACCAGATGCAACAGTATCAAGACTCGTTCTACCAATATGAGCCCCTTTATCTACCTGTAGGCTATTCATTATGCACCAGAAGCGTAGAAGATTTTGTACATCTGATTCGTTTCTCTTTGTGCTAATCAAGAGATCGATTGATACATAAGCTGTGGCTTTTCTTATTGTATGAACTTAGACGCATTTAGCTTGCGGCTAAATGTGGAAGGACGCATATATCAATTCCTATAATTGCTTCTTATCTGCAGCGAATATCCTTTCCGTCGTGCTTTGACATCATCACTGCTTGGCTTGTTGTGCCATTTGGATTGCTTTCCCTAACTCGTTTCCCTTCTGCTTGACGTTCTTCCTTGGGCAATTTTCTTTTCCATTCTTTTAAGCTTCAAATTTTACATGCAATTTGTTGCCTAATCATAAATTTGAAGAAACTTCGTGTTAGAACGAGCATCGCTGAAGCTTTCGGTCATTGGCGTTTTTTTGAACTTGAATTTGTTAGAAACAACTCCCTTGCCTACAATGGGAGATTTTTTAAATTTTGTCATAAGGATGTTAAGTGATGCTGTTGCATACCAGTCATCTGCAGCGTAACCTACTCTTTTTGGTTCGTAAGTTTGGTGAAATCCTAACATCTACGCAAACGCCCACATAATTGCATCTGTGAAATCTGCTGTAATCCCATAATAGGCTCAAGGGCATGTGCGTCATCAGCGTCAGTGGCTGTTTATCGTCGCTGTATTGGACGTCAATGAAATTGCTATTTTCGAAAAAGAAATGACGTGTGGTGAGGTAGAATTTGATGTAATGTTTTCAAAACAATAAATTGACAACCTTATCGTCTTTGAAGTGGGTGGAGGGGCGGGGAATGGCATTGTCTTCTGAACAAATATTATGCCTGACATTTATTCATATTTGTATTCTATAGGCCATGTTATGCAAATGTTCCAATATCGATCTCATGTGTTATTATGCAATTACTTTGTGCTCCTTTACTCAATCTCTCTAAAAAATTTTCCACATTATAAAAGAGATTTGTGAATATCAAAAGAGGTCGGTTTTTCTGACCAACAATGTATCCGCCTAGCGTGTATTCTGACGTCCTTCGTCTTAATTGCATGGCCTCCTTTTTCTCATATGCTGATTAGCTGGATAGCAAAGCTCTCGTCTTGTGTGCTCTGTCTTCTTCTTTTCATGATCGATGTTTTCAGATGGCCACATCTGCAGTATTACGTCTACTCTGGAGACTACGATGCCACAAAAGAGCAGATTCTTTTGAAAGCGAAACAGCGGTTCGGTATCACTATCGACCCGAGAAATGTACATTTTGTATTCCTCCGGTGATTCACTGATTATATGCTCCTCTTTTTTAGCACTCGAAATGGGTGCCAATTATGGTTTTTTCTTTCTATTTTCAGCACTTTCCACATTCAGGTTGCGACCTCTGGTTGAGGCATATCTCTATCCTCGTTTTACTCTGCTATTTCAAAGCCTTGGTGGACTGTTCTTAGGACTTGAAGCTCTGCTGAAGTTGAACCCGTCGGTTTTTATTGACACCATGGGATACAATTTAACACTACCGTTATTTCGGTAAGTTGGGAGCTAGCCGTTTTGAATCTAAATTTTAACACCTTTCAAATCAAATGCGGATTACGTGTTATCCTTCACAGCATCTCTGAAAACGCTAACTTTTAGGTGGATTGCTGGTAGCAGAGTATCTGCGTACGTCCATTATCCGATCATCTCCTGTGGTAGGTGGTAAAGTTTCTTAAAGTCTATGCTTCTCAAACAGCAATTTAGATATGATTGATTTGGTTTCACGGAGGGAGCGTACCTACAATAATGCGGATTTCATTGCACAAAACGACTTGCTCAGCCACGCCAAGTTGGCCTACTACCGGATGTTCGCATTCTTCTATGGCTTATCGGGCAGGGCTGCTGAAGTCGTTATGGTGAATGGAAGGTACTTTGAACAATTAGTGATTGTATAAACGTCTTTGCTGTTCTGCGCCGGTGGCAATAATGGAGCTGTTAGCGAGAGGGAGGGGAAGTGACGCAGCGCTACGAATTTTTTCCTAGATGGAATTTGTCTTAATCATGTCCTCCAATATCTTGCAGAGCTATTTGTGTTCTTTGGAAACCTGTAGTGTTGCCGAAAAGGCTTGGCATATTAGTCTCTAATTTTTAGAGATTTCGTGATCTTTTTCAATTTTATCAAAAGTTCGCTTCTTATATATTCTTCTCAAAACGATCTTCCCCAGGTTGGTCTTTAGATGAATAGCGATCGTATTCTTTGTGAAATCAGTCTTAAAAGTATGGATATCTTGTTGCATAGAACTGCGCTATTCCATCTAACGTTAATAGAACGCATAAAATGTAATGCTTTCTTTACTTCGGCTTCACGCATCAGCCTGACCAAACGATTACTGGGTGAAAAAGAGACTCAAACTCATGCTTAACAGTTTCACAGTCACATTCAGCATTGAGCATGCTAAATTTGAAACCTGTCAAAGTGACAAGTCTCAAATTTAGCAACCCTTATCCGCTGAGCGTTTGTCCTATCCAAGGATTTAGTTTGTGGACGATTTGTAGAGTGAAATCCTCTTTTAACAACGACTATAATCGTGCGTATGTATGTCACTGAATTTGCGATGAGTTTTTCGTATTCCAGTGTAATATCTTACTCAGTATAAAAGTCCCTTTTTGAAACTGCATGGTTCCAGCTGGACCGGCGGTCACATAAAACGAATCTGGGGATGCGATGTGAATGTCGTTTTTCCTCCTTGCGATGTGTCATCTTTTCTAAACCTGGAACAGATATCAGAAGACAAGTAAGTCTATGCTTTTTTGCGCATTTACAATTCTGCCTTTTTCTCTTCCATCATCTGAGAGCCTTATTCCTGCCGCGGCTTGATACAGTTTACGAGATTGTGTTAGTCGTAAAAGCTTTGGTTGTCAAAGACCTGTTGTTGGCTTTTTTCAATGAATTTGCTGATTAATGTTCCGTCACGCAGTTTCTTTCAGATTTGCTCATGATAGAGTACTAAGGATAATATCGATAGGGCAGATCCGCCCAGAAAAGAACCATCAGCTACAACTTGAAGTGTTGCGTTCGCTCAAGGAGAAGCTGCAAGAGCGACGTGACGACGAAGTCACGGTGAGCACAGCTGAGACATCTTTGATTTAGATTCGTAATTGATTATCTAAAATCGTTATGGTACAACTATTTGACCCTCATACCTAACACCGCAGCAAAAACGCAAGCAAAATGGCTTGTATATTCTTCATTTGTGCGATGAAAGATTCTGAGAAAATGCAGTGCGGCGTTTTAACCATTGATGCTTTTATCGCAGAAGAGAAGCTCATGATCGTATCCGCACAAGAGTGTGATGTCCATCCCGCGCGCTATCTTGCTATAATATCTGAAATTCCATACGTAAGCGCTATTTTGCGACTGCATGGCAAATATAGCAATCTTGCTCATTTCCAGAAAACCAACTTTCTTCTCCTCAGCATAAGTTTTTTTTTTTTGAAATCACGTTCTCGATGTTTTGTAGAAAGTTTCCTCTATATTGGTCTATGGGCATATGCTTGAAGCGTAGCAGAGTGCCATGATCACTCTGAAACGGTCTGGTACCGACGTATGGAGTCATCCTTCCATTTGAGCAGTACGGAAACTCTCTAGACTTCCGGGAGCCTTGCATCAAGCTGTATCCTGTACGCTACTATATATGGATAAACTAATTCAAGTTCTATTACTTCCCATATTGAGAGTTGAATTTGTGGATTTCTTCATCTACAGAGCGTCGTGATGCTGATGACGCAGTTCCTATAGGGTCATCACTTTTAGTGGCATGTTCGTGTTAGCTCTGGCGAAAGTCTTAACCGGCTTCAGGATTTCTATGCATTTACATCTTCGTGTTAATATTACATTTTCTTCGCTAGTGTAGGGCGTGTTTCGAGGTTCTTAAGTTTAAGAATTATGCTCACCATTTACCAATCTCATTTTACTCAACGTATTCCTTATGGGTCTAAAGGGTGATGCAAAACGCGCTTGCGCGCTGGTAGCTCGCCGTCGTTATCAAAACTGTTATTCCCATTTGCTGAATGTAGTCACACGTTAAACGTCTAAGGAACTTTTGTGTGATATCACATTTTTAAATTTTGTTAAGGTTGAATTGACCATCGCTGGAGGATGCCGAAATACGGAGGACCAGGCTCGGGTGCAGAAGTTGAAGAGTCTTTCGAAAGCCTGGGACTTGACTGAGAATGTGAAGTGGAAGCTCAATGTGGTTTACGAGGAACTATTAGATGCTCTTTCGGTCAGTATTTATTTCTTTTATCACTCTTTCCAATTGTGTTTCCTTCTTGTTCATTTTTGTTCTTTGTTTGTCATATCGCAAGGAACCATATCCTTCATGATGATTTTGAAACTAGTATGACATGTTGGGAGAGAGCGAAACGATTAAACGAGACACTGCATCTAGTGCAATCACAAGAATATTTTTTGGGTGAATTTTCGCGCTTGTAAAGTTATCGATTAATCAAAGTCTAAGCCTTATCATTTTGGTACACTTGTGAGAAGAAATGCTTAGTTTCTCACACATAGTGCAAAATATATTATCTGCGTGTTGATATGTGAATGCTTGCTCTTTTTGACTCCTTAGATATTGGCAGGAAGTACGTATAATAATTGCTTATAAAATTGTGCAGGAGTCAATGATATCCATACACACGATGTGGAATGAACACTTTGGCATATCCGTCGTTGAAGGCATGGCTGCTGGTACCATCATGTTGGCGCATGACTCCGGTAATCACTATATATCTCGTTTCTTTTTGCTTGGAATATTATTTTATAGGTGGCCCTGAACTGGACATTTTACGCCCTGCCGATTTGAATAAGCAAGAGCAACCACTTGGATTCCTTGCTTCGACAAAAGAGGGTTAGTGAATAAAATTGCTCTTTATCTGAGAGTAACATCTATCATTATCGATTCCTAATTTTTCTTGTTTATTACTGATTCTCTCGCTATACACTCTATATGATTTTCTTTTTTTTACTGGATTTCTTGCTAGCCTTACGGAATGTGCTATGAAATTACTCGCTTTAGGCCAATTAGTCTAGTATGTAATTTCTGTCATAATGGTTGTGATTTTACTCGTCAATGATGACACATTTAGATTATGTGCAGCTCATTCAACATATTCTGGATATGTCCCGAGCAGAACGAGAACAAATTCGAGAAGCTGCTCGTTCGTCAGTGAACAGATTTAGCGAACCTGAATTCGAACGTAACTGGATGCACGCTGTTGAACCATTGCTGTCGTAGCTTTATTTGCTCTTTTTAGGGTAAAGATTTGTGATACTGAATTTACCTTGGCAGTTTAGCTCATTATATATCTATAGAAGGGAATCCTCACTATTTGTCCAAAAGAAATGCCTTTGTTGTAGCAGCTTGATTAAAAAAACTTGTAGATATATATTTTTTTTTCTGGAAACTGAGTTTGAAGCTAGTGGTCTGTGGAGGCTTTCCTCAACACCAACTGTTGGCGTAATTTCTCAGTTTACTGCAAGCTTGCATGCCCAACATAGGTGCGATAAGGTGAGAATGACCTCTCCAGGGTGAAGGGGGTCACGGTGGTCGCAGCCCCTCCAGGGTGAAGGGGGTGCCTAGTGATTTCTGGAAATTTTCGAGTTTTCAACATAAAAAAATTCATAACTTCTGTAGATGAACAGCTAGTACACGGAGATGCTCACCATCAGAACCGTCTCATTCTCCGCTTTCAGAAAATATATAGATTGTCTGGGATTCGTTGGAAAAAGTCCATGGTGAAGGGGGTGCCTAGTGATTTCTGGAGATTTTCGAGTTTTCAACATAAAAAAATTCATAACTTCTGTAGATGAACAGCTAGTACACGGAGATGCTCACCATTAGAACCGTCTCATTCTCCGCTTTCAGAAAATATATAGTTTGTAAGGAATCCCTTGCAAAAAGTGCCTGGTGAAGGGGGGGGGGTGAGAATTTTATAACGGGAGTTCTCAGGTAGACGTCTTTTTACAATGGTGAAAAGGCCTCTGCCTGAGAACTCCCGTTATAAAATTCTCACCCCCCCCCCCTTCACCAGGCTTTATATTTTCTGAAAGCGGAGAATGAGACGGTTCTAATGGTGAGCATCTCCGTGTACTAGCTGTTCATCTACAGAAGTTATGAATTTTTTTATGTTGAAAACTCGAAAATTTCCAGAAATCACTAGGCACCCCCTTCACCATGGACTTTTTCCAACGGATCCCAGACAATCTATATATTTTCTGAAAGCAGAGGAAGAAACGGTTTCAATGGTGAGTATTTCCTTGTACTAGCTGTTCATCTACAAACGTTATGAATTTTTAATTGAATTTTTTCAAATTTTGCCTATAAATCTAACAATAAGGACATAGCTGGAAGAATGCCACGATTGTCCTTCACTTGCTTCTTGACTGTAGAGCCTACAAGTAGGTTGATAGCGTGGTCATTTTATCAGGCATAATCTTACCTCACTGTTGATTTTTTTTTGTCGGTTTTGGTGAAGGGGGTCACCTTGGTTTCCGGCTCAGGGGTGAAGGGGGGGGGGGTGAGCAAATTCTCACACTATCGCACCTATGATGCCCAAATTGGTCACCAAAGGCCGCAAATCCATCATGTATACATGCATCGCAGAGCTAGTGTTCTAAATTGAATAGGTAAATCACAGAGGTTTTGTCTTGGGTTAGGAATGCTTGTATCATTGTATGTTTTTACACTCTATCTTTATCTCATGTTTGTTGATGATAATAATAAAGATCTTCATTTCTTAACGTCTTTTTCGCGAGTAAGGGATTCTGTTCCTTTTATCGATTTTATTTTACAAATCGGCTTTAGTATTATTATATGTGTGGTACAGTTTGTATAGTTACGACTTACAGTTAGTTGTTGATTTGCAGATGAAACTTTATTCGATTCTGATTTATCATAAAGGGAATGATGGGACTGTGCGGTCTTTCAAATCAGCATTCGATTTGTCATCATTCAGCTTTTTCCAAAGGGGATCAGTTCAGGTATGAGTTCTCAGTGATAATTGCTTGATTGGTTTTCCCTAATTTTCTTTAGGAGTTCATGCAATTCACTGGCAAACTCCTCGTAGAAAGATCGGGGCTAGGTGCGCGTAGTACTGTGAAGGAAAACGAATATTTTTGCCATTGCTATGTGCGCAGTGACGGCTTAGCAGCGGTCTCCGTTACGGATAGTGAATACCAAGTAAGAATACAATGATCGTCACCAAACGTAAGAAATGTCGTTTGCATACTGATTTTCCCTTCAGGCACGCGTTGCCATGAGCATGATGACTAGAGTGTTGGACGACTTCACATCTAAAGTTCACCCTACTCAATGGGTACGTAAATGAATTCATCATTATTTCTTCCATTTGAAGACATCATATAATTGAAACCTGTATTTCAGGCGCAGATAAAGTCAGACAAGGACTGCATGTATACAACTCTTCCGGAGTTGCTCGCCAAATGGCAAAATCCGCGGGAAGCGGACCCTATGACACGGGTTCAGGTGTGTTAAGAACATCATCTTCTTTGGACCTTTATGTCTTCACACTTCTTTTTTGTTCATTTTGACGTTCCCCATTTTTCGTGTTTCAGGAAGAAGTAGAAGAGACTAAGATTGTTATGCATAACACTATCCAGTCAGTGCTTGAGCGAGGTATGTTCGTGTTGTTCTTTTATTTTATTACTTTTTGCGTACATATGAGATCCCTTTCCGTTTTGCGTTGAGCTGTACACATTTGCGACTTTTTACTTCTTTAATTTCATACTTTTAACCATTCATTTTGATTTTCTTCTGCCTGTTTCTACTAATGATGCGATTAGTAGTCGAATATCTCCTCTCTTCTGTTTTTTGTGTCACTATAATAAGTCTGTCAATAATTTCTTACAGGAGAAAAGTTGGATGATCTCGTCAAGAAAAGTGAGAATCTCTCTGATCAGTCGAAGCTTTTCTACACACAAGCCCGGAAGATGAACAAGTGCTGCAACTACTACTGACTTTTAACCCAGTTTCTTTCCTCTGGTGAAAGTCTGTTTATTTCCTCTGTCCTGTGATGCTACGATATCTGTAATGCATTCTTGGAACTTCTCATCTAGAAGTATAGTGTGCCGCTTTTACTGTATCATCCTAACCTTTCGACGAGCAAGTATTTTAACTCTTGCCTTGCCTGTCAATACTTCCAATGGTACAGCTGTACTTCAAATCTTTGACTTTCTTTAGTCACATCCATCGTTCATTAGCCTGTATCTCAGTTCTATAACGCCTCTGAACTGCGCTAGCTAAGCCTGAGATGCCCTGTTGAGTACCTTTGATATCCTCATTGTTTATAATGATGAGATTTCTCAAGTGGTGCATATTTCGAAAGGTTTATATATATTATTATCATTTTGGCTTGTCATTGAAACTCGCATTCACATCTGTGTATTTGTGATTTTCTCGCTGTACGACCACCTTCTCCTGTGTACCTAACTCCTCGTGGAACTGACTTACCAAACTTCCTAAAATTAGCCATACTTGTATTTTAATGCTTACACCTTCATAATCAATCACTTCAAACTTCTGGTGCAGGCACACCATGCTTTCAAGCATGTCAAGATCATGGTGAGAAGCACTTCGTGTTTACCTTTCCTTTGCTATGTTCGCATGTGTTCCCGCGTTCTGTATTTATCAGTATACAAGGCGTAACGTTGAGCTTTCATACTAAAATTCAAGATCGTGTAAGTAAAAGTGAAATAGATGCGGGAATTACAACATTATAGTCGCCTCAATGCAATACGTTGGGCGGGGCATTGCACACATACAAACACGTTAAACTGGTTAAACCTTTGGTGACAACAAACAAGGCTTATCACCTGCAGATTCGGATGCATCAGCATCTCCGCTACCGCGCAGCCGCCTCGCCTGGACTCTGCGCTTCTTTCGAAAACATGCTTTCTGACCACTTTCCCACCACGAGCGTGCGGAAGGCGGAGTTTCAATCGCTAACTGGGCGTGCGAAAATGGTTAGAGAGCATGTTCGAAAGAGGTGCAGAGTCCAGGCAAGGAGGCCACGTAGGGGCGGAGATGCTGGTGCACTGCACCGGACTCTGCAATTAATAAGCCCAGTATACAGGCGGCGTTTCTGGTGGCGAAAGAGTAGATACAAAGAGCAATGTTTTGGGGGAAAAGATCCGAAAAGTTTACCTACGTGTTCAAATGTCTGCAATGCTCCGTCCTACGTAAACCGCGGAAGCGAAGTTAACAGACAGTAAAATTGAAACTTTGGTGGGGAGTGGAGTTCTACAGTGGTGATTTGCTAACATCGACAGAAAATTCTATTGGTATATCTGGTAAATTGGATTTATTTGACTATGCAATTCTAGAAGTTAGAAGTTGTTATCTTGACAAGCATAATTTCTGATAGCAGGATCACATGTATTGGTTAGGTCTCCTCTATCAGCTTATCGTTTGAACCTTCTGTTTTTCTGCGCCGTCTTGTCGATACGGTCATATTATACTGGAACCGAAGGCAAGTGTAACTGTGCTTGTTTCTGTTTATTCATCAGGAAAACACTAGAAAACAGTACTTCAAACGAGTATGGATCATTACGTTCTTAATCTCTGAAGATTTTGATAAATGGACAGTTGGAAAAGTTCATTTAAGTAACAGAAAAATGTTGATTTCGGTTCCGTCACAGTTTAGGCTTTTTTTAATGTGGGAAGACGTGCGAGAAAGTATTGGTTGGACCTCCAACATGCAATTTATTTGGACAACATCAACGAAGCTGTTCAAATAATGCAATATGGATACAAATGAGCGCGTTCCTCAGGTGTTTATTTTGTTTCAAATTTCAAGCAGCTGCATTCCTCATGTGGGGAAGGTCTGCGCTCTTGTCTTCTAACTGGTGATCAGATTATTTACAGAACTTCGTATTTCTTGAGCTATCATACAAGATACTCTCTCATTCTGTATTCTAAAAATACGTCAACAATAATACAATAAGAGCTTTTTACCCTACTGTTCTGTGAAGCCGGGTCATTGCGAAATAAAGTATAACAGCGTTCCTTATCAGTGACCCATATGGACGCTCCAGCGTGGCTGGATGGTCTTTCTCGAGTTGTTTTTTTTTCTTGAGACGTCTTGTTTTTGTCCAGCCATGAGTAATACCATATCATTTTCGTGGGGTGAGGTGCACAATATGTGTCCCAAAAAATGAATCGATACGAATGAAACGTTTTTGCTGAAAATGTTTTGTTGAAAACAGAGCTGGCTGTTCATTCAGTTTCATAGAAGTTTTTGTTTGATAAACGTGCGATAGTTTCACAATGGCAGTGTCCGTCTTCCTTAAAACTTCACAGATGTTGATGTGTTATTTTCTTGATTGTTTATCACCTTTTAGGCCTCGGGCAGAGTTAACGCGATTCAATCGTCGCGATTCAATGCTACAAGACAAGCCTCACGAGTTCATTGCATGCCGATCTTCTTGTATTTCGGTTGGATAGTTGGTCACGATTAGTCGTGTTGGAAAACTATCACAACCGAAATGCAAGAAGATCGGCATTCAATGAACTCGTAACACTTGTCTTGTAGCGATTGAATCGCGACGATCAAATCGCGTGAACTCTGCCCGAGGCCTAAACCACAATGCAAACGATTTTACCCGTGTGTTCGTCGCTGCAAACGATAAAGGAATGCAGCGTGACCCATTTTTATCGGAAGGTCTGATTACGCGGTGGTTGCTGCTTGGAAAGCGATGGAAAATGATTGATTCGCCGCTCTTCTCTGACCTTCGCTATTTCTTACAATCGTGCCACAGTTCTTGCTAAATCATCAGTTGTTGATGAATCGTTTCCTGTTTGCTAAGGTCAGACTTCAGTTCAGCACTGTTCTGTGCCAGTGCTTCATTTGAATATTGCTATCTTAATTATACCTAGCTTATCTCCGTGTCCTGTGGCTAACGGTGAGAGGCACGATCGGCGCGTTCCGGGAAGCGATGCACATACATACAGTCAAGCAGAAGTAGACTTTCCGCTTGATACAGTGCTTGCGTGTGCTAAGAAAATGCGGTGAAATTTGCGCGTGAATAAGTACCATCGTCTCCCCGATTGCTGCGAGGGCGGTCGCGATGGTCAACCGATAATCAATTTATCAGCTACCAATGCTTCACCTCTGCTTCGCAGAGGGTCGCACTGGCCATCAAGAAACGATGGTAAACTTACGATGTGAAGGCTTTCTTTTAGATTACTAGCGGCCCGATGGCTATCAGGTGTGAGAACTGTCATACTGAGTCACCAAAACCTCGGATAACACTTTTCAATGCCGTAAAAAGCCGTAATTTTTGTTCATTAATGTTTTGATAAAAAAGATCTGCTGAAATTGCATGGTGCATATAGGTTTGAATGACAAAAGTACGATTGTTTGTAAAAGATTGCTAGATGAAAGAATTGTCTAGATGTCGCATTCAGTGAAGCTCATTCTCGGAAATGGACTTGCACACCCTACTCATACTTCTCCTCCAGACTCGTCCTGCGCATGGGATAATCGAAATAGTGCTTTTCCTCCTCAAAAAGCATCCTTTCCGTAGCCCTCCTTTCTGTAACTTTTTCTAGCTGATGTATTGTGTATTCTTTCGGCGTAAATTCATTCGCTGGCTGCTTTTTCCGTCAAAGCATTAGAGGTGCCTAACTTCCTTCTCCATCTAGCCTTGTAATATCTTTCTCCTGTCCAATTTCCTAAGCCAAGAGGCCCTAAGTTCCCCTTTAATCCATAATCATGTTATCCATTTTTTCTACTCAAAGAGCTATCCTGTCTTTAAAATCCCCTTTTCTCAAAGCTTACTGCCAAAGACACAGAATCTTCCTCCTCCTTCAAAGTATTTTCGTCCACAATGTTTACACCGTTCCCCTCAACTTTTCCGTGCCAAAATCCCAAAGCTTCTTTTTCAAATCTTCTCAATTTATGGTTGCTGCACAATTTCTTAACACTTTGCAATGCGAAAATTCAGTAGCCTTCTCGAAAATCCTCTTTCCTTCCCTTCTGCCTCCCTCTCCCAATCACTGCATTGATCAGGTTCCCACTAAAGTTTCCATTCATGCTCAAAGACAGCATCTCACCGTATTGGAGGTATACCGGATTTTATAGATTTCATTAGGGAGTCCCCTTCTCAGGCCAATGCCCAGGTCCCCTTCTACTAAGTCTCTTCTACTTCAGAAAAATTGAGCTCAAAAAGCTTATCGGCTCGCTGAACGACTTATCGGTTCCCTTATCGCGTCTCAACGAGTCTTTCCAAGCGACGCCTTCCATCTTGACATGTCTGACCCGGCGGCCAAGGTTAAGATAAATCGGGACAACTCGTCCGCGTTGCTTCTACGGAGTCTCCAAACAACGGAGTTTTTCGGATTTTTGAACGGATTTAAGCCCGTTTGGGGGTATACAAGGTCGTAATGGGTTGTAGTTTGCAAAAACCAAGAGACGCAAATTTTGGTGAGACACTGCCTTCAAGTCTGACTCTGATGTTGATGGCCATGCTGACTTAGTTTGAACGGAGTTATTCCAATGCCCCAAGTTTCGAAGTGATCCTGCTCAAACTTGGTCTAGAAGGGGAGGGGAAGGTATTCGACCTGAAGCCATTGACTATCATTTTTGCGCAATAGCTCTTTTTCGAGGTCACAATGGGTATATGGTAGGGGGCCAGATTAGAATTTCGATAACGCGGCTTAGGGGTGTTATTCGACATGCTGATCACGATTATCGCATTCTTTCTGCATTATAGGGCCCTTTCATATAATTATGGTAGGTTTACGGTAGGCAGACAAAATCTCAAGTTCGGTTGAAATTCGGTCTAGAAGGGTCACTTTACATGCTGATCACAGGCATCACACTCTCCTTGCATTTTGGGACCTTTTCGTGGAGTTACGGGATATATGGTATAAAGTTAAAAATCATATACTTGCCAAAAAATCATCTGTCCTGCTGGTCAAGCGGATTGTGCTCATTTCGCACGATAAAGCCTTTAGCAAAATTTTTGTGATTTGAATTAGCCCAAAGGGTGGAAAAATGTTTCTCCATACGCCACGAATTATCGTGCTTCCACAACAAGGCATTGATGCCGCGAGCAAACTTAAAATAACCAGATTCCTTGAAAATCCTTCAAGCCAAAGTTTTGAGAGATTTGGAACTGCGACTCATCTACCGTACACCCACCGTGCTAAGAAAATGGCGCTAAGAGGGAAATCGTATGATATTCATGTTCAGCGGGCTAAATAAATCCATAGGCAAAGTTTCGAGCATACTTGTATTTTCGGCCCGTACATTATACCCACCGTGATTCCATGAAAAGGCGCCAGAATGCAGAAGTATGATAATCGCGATCAGCAAGTCAGAAAACTCCCTAGACCAGTTTTAGCAATATTGATTTTGACCCCCTACCGTATAAACCGTACAAATGACGTTTGTGTAAAAGAAAAGGAACAATTCAAACGCTCATAACTCAGCAAAAAGTGAAAACAGGCTGCCAAAAATGGTACCAATGGAAAGAAGAAGACAAGCTCTTAAATGAAAATGCTGTTAAAATTTCGAAAATCCCTCGTAAAAAGGGAAGAAAATGGGTCTGAAGTGAGGCAATATTCACGGATAGTTGTCTCTACTGGAAATGCCCATGTAAGCGAACAAAGCTGGGAAAAAAGACGAAAATCTATGACATCCTTGTAGAAAAGTTTTCTAAGTGGAGATAAGGGGCA